GGCTTTCGGTGGAACTCTTTATGGGGCCACGAAGCGCTCTACTGGGTGGTGGATGAAGCATGCGGGCGCTCCCACTGGATGCTTCGGTGTAACTCCTTCTGGGCCACGAAGTGCTGTGCTGGGTGGTGGATGACGCATGCGGCCGGTCCCACCGGAGATTTCGGTGGAGCTCCCTGTGGGGCCACGAAGCGCAGTGCTGGGTGGGCAAAACTCAAGGACGAAGGAGGAGGGGGAGGAGGGGGAAGAGGAGGAGGAGGGAGGAGGGAGGAGGAAGGAAGGAAGGAACGAAGGAAGGAAGGAAAGAAGGAACGCGGGGACCGTCTCTTCAAAACGAGGACCCACCACCACAGGACGGTTGGGAACTATTTGGTAACACCTAGGGGCCTGAATCCCCAGAGTCTCAAGCGGGAGTCTCGCTCATGAGCGAACTGGAAGCAGGTCTCGGGCGCTCAATCGTCTGTGAACGCATTGCGAGGAAGTCTCGGGCGTGAGCCCCGCCGCACGTTGGCAATCTGAGGCGGCCATCGGAATGCCATGCAATTAGCCTGGCGAAAGACCCAACCAGATGCAGTTTTGAATACTGCAAGTATGGATATCATCTCCGCCCGCGCTCCCTATGGGGCCTCGAACCGTGCGAGGAGCGCGCCCGCATACGTGGCGGGGCACACAACGCGAGCGAAGCCGATAGGTCTGTGTGCGAGAGACTGAGAGCGAGTGAGCCCGATTGTGGATGATTCTGCGCGCGCGTGAGTCTACGTACAGAAACGTCGACGCTTATGTCGGCACGCCTCTCACGAGGATCGCGCCCGCTTCCTTACCGTTGTTCTTCTCCCCCTTTGCCCGTGCACGCCCACGTCCAAGGCTGCGGGCGCGGCGCCGCACGGAGTCCCCGCGACGCGCGCTGGTCGCCCCGAAGGAATCCCCGCGACGCGCGCGGGTCGTCCGCTGCGCGGAGCAGAGAAAGCGAGCAGGCTGGCTCCCGCCCGGGATGCGCGGCCCGAAAGCGGCCTCAACGCGTCGAATACGACGAAAAACCCTTGGAAATCGAAGATCGTCGCCGTGCGAACTCCGCCACTGGGCCGCCATGCGAGTTCTGCCACGGAGACCTTCGGTGGAGCTCTCTGTGGGGCCACGAAACATTGTGCTGGGCGGTGCATGGCGTATGCGGGCGGTCCCAGTGGAGCCTTCGGTGGAGCCCCCTCTGGGGCCACGAATCGCTGTACTGGGTGGTGGGTGACGCATGCGGGCGGTCCCACTGGAGCCCTCGGTGGAGCTCCCTATGGGGCCACGTAGTGATGCGGGCGGTCCCACTGGGGCGGGGCCTTCGGTGGACCCCCCTATGGGGCCACCTGGGTGGTGGATGACGCATGCGGGCGGTCCCACTGAGGCCTTCGGTGGAGCTCTCTATGGGGCCACGAATCGCTGTACTGGGTGGTGGATGACGCATGCGGGCGGTCCCACTGGAGCCTTCGATGGAGCTCCCTATGGGGCCACGAAATGCTGTGCTGGGTGGTGGATGACGCATGCGGGCGGTCCCACTGGAGCCTGCGGTGGAGCCCCCTTTGGGGCCACGGAGTGAGGGAGGAGGGGGAGGAGGAGGAGAGGAGGGGGAGGGGCGCGGGGCGCTGTCTCTTCAAAACGAGGACCCAACACCACAGGATGGTTGGGGAAAACACATGTTTGGTGACACCTGGGGGCCTGAAACCAGAGGGAGTCTCGAGCGGGAGCCTCGTTCATGAGCACATTGTGAGGATGTCCCGGGCGCTCGCTTGTAAGCGAATCACGTGGAAGCTTCGAGCGGGAGCCCATGCCTACGGGCCCCCCGCTTCATGTTATTCATCCGAGGCGGCCAGCGGGATTCCCTGTAAAATCATAGGTTTGTCGACACCTGGGAGTCTGAATCTTCAGGACATCTAGGGCGGGATCCTCGTTCCTTTGCCAGGCGTCCTTTGCAATTCGAGGCGGCCATCCTCCATCAACCTCGTAAGCGCCGGCAGGGGCCAGCAAGTACCCGATGAGGATTACTTCTAGGTTAGTCTGGACATTTCTCATGTGGGGTCTACCTTCGGGGTAGTTAAATGGTATTCCGATGGCCGCCTCGGATTATCAACATGATCTGCGCGTCCTGGAAAGAGGGGGGCTCCCCCTCGAGACTTCCTCACAATTCACTCACCGACGAGGCTCCCGCTGGAGTCTTCCCCAGGATTCAGGCTCCCAGCTGCCACCAAACTTGCGTTTGCACATGGTATTCCGATGGCCGCCTCGTATTACCAACGTGATCCGCGGGCCCCAGAAGGAGGGGGCCCCCGCTCGAGACGTCCCCGGAATTCACTCACAGACGAGGCTCCCGCTCGAGACTTCCTCTGAATTCAAGCTCCCAGGTGTCACCAGACCTGTGCTTGTATATGGTATCTCGATGTTCGCCTCGGATTACCACCATGATTTGCGCACCCCCTGGGGAGGGGGCTCCCGATCGAGACTTCTCGCAATTCACTCAACGGCAGGGCTCTCGCTCGAGACTTCCTCCGGATTCAATTTCCAAGGCGTCACCAAACTTGTCTTTTCGCACATCATGTGAAAAGACAAGTTTGGGTACCATTGGTACCCCGATGGCCGAATCTGATGACTAACGCGATCTGCGCGCCCTGTAGGGATGGTGCTCCTGCTAGAGGCTTCCTCGCGGTTCACTCGCCAACGAGGCTCTCGCTCGCGAGTTCCTCACGACTCAGGCTCCCAGGTGTCACCAAGCCCGTACTTTCACATTGTATCCCGATGGCCGCCTCGGACTACCAACATCATCTGCGCTCCCTGGAAGGAAGGGAGCTCCGCTCGAGACGTCCTCGCAATTCACTCACCGACAAGGCTCCCGCTCGAGACTTCCTCGGGATTCAGGCTCCCTTGTCCGATGGCACGTAAGGAGCAGGGTCTCGCCAATCGAAATCGAAGAGCCGCATTTTGTGCGCTCGCAGGGAAGAGTCCCCATCAGGGGGCCACGCCATCTATACAGCCTGGTCATCTCGGCGGCTCGGTTGTTCAACATCTGCTCGAGCATGATGCGCGGACCCCATACGGAGGGGGCTCCCGCTCGAGACTTCCTCGCAGATCACTCACAGAAAAGACTCCCGCCCGAGATACCCTCCAATTTGCTCACCGACGAGACTCCCGCTCGAGACTCTCTCCGGATTGCGGCTCCCAAGTGTCGCCAAACCAATGCTTTTACATGGTATTCCGATGGCCGCCTCGGATTACCAACATGACCTCCGCGGGTCCCATGGGGAGCCCCCCACCCCGCTCACGTTTTCCTCGCAATTCACTCACCGACGAGGCTCGCGCTCGAGACTTCCTCTGGATTAAGGCTCCCAGTTGTCACCAAACCTATGTTTTACACGGTACTTCAATGGTCGCCTCGGATTGCCAACATGATCTGCGCGCCCTAGAAGGTGTCTTCCGCTCGAGACTTCCTCAGGATTCAGGCTTCCAAGTGTCACCAAACATGTGTTTTTACTTGAAAATCCGATGGCCGCCTCGGACTACCAACATCATCTGCGCGCTCCCTAAGGAGGGGGCCCCCGCCCGAGACTTCCTCGCAATTCGCCGACGAGGCGTCGCCTAAGACTTCCTCAGGATTCAGATTCCCAAGTGTTACCAAGCATGGATTTTTGCTTGTTTTCCTGGTGGCCGCCTCGGGTTACCAACATGATTTGCGCGGCCCCTAAGGAGGGGGCTCCCGCCCGAGACCTCTTCGCAATTCATTCACCGACGAAGCCGTCGCTCGAGACTTCCTCGGGACTCAGGCTCCAAGGTGACATCAAATCTGTATTGCGCAAGTGTATTCCGATGGCCGCTTTGGATTCCCAACATGATGTGCGCGCCCCATAGGGAAGGGGCTCCCGATCAAGACCTCCTCGCAGTTCGCTCACCGACGCGGCTCCGGCTCGAGTGTTACTCAGGGATCAAGCTTCCAAGTGTCATCGAAACTGAGATGTTACGTTGCACTTTGAAGGCCGCCTGGGGTGGCCAACATGACCTGTGAACTCCATAGGGAGGGGTCTCCCGCTCGAGACTTCCTCGCGATTCACTCATCGACGAGGTCTCCGCTCAAGACTTCCTCATGATTCAGGCTCCAAGGTGTTGTGAGGATGGTACTGAGAATGATAATGGTGATGATGATGACGATGATGATGATGATGATGATGATGATGATGATGCTAATGGTGGTAAGGATGATGCTGACGATTGTGTTAGTGGTGATGAGGATGAGGATGATGATGAGGGTGATGACATCATAATGATGGTGGTGATGATGCTCGTGGTAATGACGATGCTGCTGATGATGATTATGATGATGCTGAAGATGAAGATGATGAAGATGGATATGGCTATTAAAATGAAGATGCCGATTCTGGTGATGATGGTGATGCTGATGATGGTGATGATGATGACGACGATGGTCATGTTGTGGTGATGATGTCGATGACGGCGGTGATAAGTATGATGGTGATTGTCATTATTGAGGGAGCACGAGATGGGTGCTCAGGAGTATGCCAATGGTGATGATGCTGATGAGGATTGTTATGGTGATGCTAAGTTTGAAATGAGGAGAGGAGGATCGAAGGGGGTGAGGTGTGAGGTTCCTGCGCGGGAGGGGAAGGGGCAGAGAAAACAATAACCCCACTTAGGATGCGGGGAGCAAGAACCCCACTTAGGAAGCGGAACGAAACACCCTCCGTCGCGACTATCTCAGGGCGCGGAGGGGTTTGCCGGGTGCACGCTACCATGGATTACGGAGCTGTGGGTCTGGCGCGCGGGCGCCAGATCTCCGGCTCGGGGCAGGACCTTCGAAGCGTGAGGCCGATGCCGCCTGATGTGGCGACGGAGCGCGCCGATCCTGCACGGCAGCAGAAGCCGCCGCTGATCCACGTGCCTGGATCCTTGGATGCGCTTCCCTGAGCCTGGGAGCCACCTCCCCGTCCCCCCCCCCCCCGAGATTCGCGCGCCGCCTTGGCGAAAGGGTCGGCAGCGATCTGCATGGCCACCACCGAGAGGCTCCTGCTGCCCAGCCGCTGCGCCTCCTGGCCCGCGGGGAAGGGGCGCGCTCCACGCACTGCGGTGCAGCCACGCAGCCTGCACTGACCCCCTGGCAAGGGGGCGGAGGCAGAGGGAGGATAGGGGGGGAGTGGCGAGGAGGACGAGGAGGAGAACGAGCAGAAAAGAGGAAGGGGGAGGAGGACGATCCAAGATCGAGGATCGAGAATCGAGGATCGAGGTTCTTGGGCGCTTTTAGCTCGTGCAAGAGCCCCAGAAGGCTTCCAAAGGCGTCCGGGCACCTCCGGAAAGTCTCGAGCCCTGCAGGGGAGGAGGACGGGTGATCCAGAGGCTCCATGCCTCCCAAATGGCTGTTCGACCTTCATTGTTGAGTTCCGTCATGCGTTGTGACGCTCCACTCACACTTTACACGACCACCTACACACACACACACACGCTCTAAAATATGGAGTATTCCTTTCCGTCTGAACGTTGTGGCCGAACGATGACGAGTGAGGCAGGGGGGTGTTCTGCTACCTCCTTCTGGCGGCGAGCGAGGGGGGGGGAAATGACAAGGAGAATGCCTTCTCAGAAGGTCGCGGGACGTCTCAAAGCCCTCCGGCCTTCGCTGAGAAGCCTTCTGCATCTCCGAGGAGAGCTTGCGAGAACTTCTCGGGAGGCCCGAGGGACTTCCGAGCCTCCCGAGAAGGCCCCATCCTGCTCACTTCCCTCCCGTCGCTCGCCGCCGATCCGTCCCTTCCCCCCTCTCGCCTTTCGCCCTCTGCCCTGGACAGCCCTGGGAGCACGGAGGGCCCTGCAGGCCTCCACTTGGTGCATCACCGATCTCAACCACTTTTGGCTGGCGACGCGCTTCGGACTCTAAGCAGGTCCTCTTCTGGGCCAGGAGGCTGCGGTGTCCCACGCGCGTGCCGTGCAGCGCGAGAGCAAGGCAGCAAGAGGTCAAGAGTGCGGGGGTGAACAAAAACCCGAAGGTTTTTTGTCACCCCCGCGCCCTGGGAGCATGGAGGGCCCTGCAGGCTTTCGCGACGCCCCGCGGAGGGTTCCCGGGAGGCTGCTCCGCAGCCCTCCGGGAGGCACCGCGGGGTGGCCCGCAGGCGGCCGCTCCCACGCTTGGGTGGGGCACGTCCTCCTGCAGGCGGAGCTGGGAGGACAAGGGGAAACGAGTTCAAACACAGATTCAGCAACCGTAATCATTAGTGACAAAAGCGACTCCCCATGCCATGTTTGGGCCCTTTTTGAATTTGTTCCTCCTGTAGAGGGACATGCCCGACATGATCCTGCTCTCCTCCCGTCAACGCCGTGACTCTGTTTCGAACGGGACCCCCCGGGGCTCCCGACACCAGGGGGGGGAGGAGGACCGAGGACGAAGCGGAGGAAGAGGAGGAAGGAGGAAAAAGAGGAGTAGGAGGAAGAGGAGGAGGAGGAAGAGGAGGAGGAGGAAGGAGGAAGAGGAGGAAGAGGACGGAGGAAGAAGTAGGAGGAAAGAGGGAGGAGGAAGGAGGAAGACGAGGAGGAAGGAAGGAGGAAGGAGGAGGGAGAGAGGAGGAAGGAAGAGGAAGAGGAGGAAGAAGGAAAGGGGAAGGAGGTTGAAGAGGAGGAAGGAGGAAATGGGAAGGAGGAAGGAAGAGGAGGAAGGAGGACGAGGAGGAAGGAAGAGGAAGGAGGAGGAAGGTAGGAGGAAGGAGGAAGGGGGAAGGAGGAAGGAAGAGGAGGAAGGAGGAAGGGGGAAGGAGGAAGACGAGGAGGAAGGAAGGAGGAATGAGGAGGGAGAGGAGGAAGGAGGAGGAAGAGGAGGAAGGAGGAAGGGGGAAGGAGGAAGGAAGAGGAGGAAGGAGGAGGAAGGAAGAGGAAGAGGAAGAGGAAGAGGAGGAAGGAGGAGGAAGGAAGAGGAAGAGGAAGAGGAAGAGGAGGAAGGAGGAGGAAGGAAGAGGAGGAGGAGGAGGAGGAGGAGGAGGAGGAGGAGGAGGACAGGCTCTCTCGAGGCCAGATTGGCATCCAGGGTGTTTCTGCTTACGGCCCCCCAGGGCCCTAAACGGCCCTCCGGAGGCCGAGGTGGAGCGGGTGCCGGCGCTGACGAGCACGCACGACGGCGGAGTGGTCTGGGCCGCCCTCCCGCGTTCCCAGGGGGGAGACAGCAAGATGCTGATATACCGCAGCTCCCAGGACCTCTCCCTGGGCGCCGTCCTGACCAGGACTCCGAGGCGAATCCAGCTGCGGCGACGAGGGACGGGTAGCGTCATCCCCAGACATCCTCCGATCTGCTTTTTGTTGTCCATCCGCGGCCCCAGAGCTCCCGACCCCTCTCCCACTGGGGCAGCTTCCTTCGTCCCGGGGCAACTCTTGATTACCCTGGGGCCCGATTACGAGCCCCAGAGGTCGGATGGACCTCCTTGTCCTGCGCCGCCTGCTGCTGCGCAAGAGGATGAGGATGAGGATGAGGATGATGATGAGGAGGAGGAGGAGGAGGAGGAGGAGGAGGAGGAGGAGGAGGAGAAGAAGGAGGAGGAGGGGAGGAGAAGAGGAGAAAAGGACGAGGAGGAGAGAGGAGGAGGAGGAGGAGGAGGAGGAGAAAGAGGAGGAGGAGGAGGAGGAGGACGACGAGGATGACGAGGAGGAGGAGGAAGAGGAGGACGAGGAAGAGGAGGAGCAGGAGGATCCGATCTCCGATCTCCTGTCCTTGGTGAGCACGTCCACGGCCCTGCCCTGCGCCGCCTGCTGCTGCGACTGCGCCTGCTCCAGGTCGTGGCCGCCGTGGCTGCGCACCTGCACGAGGGACGCGGGCGCCGACGAGGCCCGCGGCGCCTCGCGCGGGGAGGCTCGGGGGGGGGGGGGAGGACGAGAGCGAGGCCCGCGGCGCCTCGCGCCGGGAGGCTCGTGGGGGGGGGGGGGCGCCGACGAGGCCCGGGGCGCCTCGCGCGGGGATGCCCGGGGGGGGGGAGGGCGAAGGCGAGGCCCGCGGCGCCTCGCGCGGGGAGGCTCGGGGGGGCAAGGGCGAAGGCGAGGCCGAAGGCCGGCGGCGCGCCAAAAGAGGGTAAGGCGCATCTGAAGGCGCCCCTGACACACACACACACACTCACACACACACACACACACACACACACACACGCGCGCGCGCGCTCGCACGCGCACGCGCACGCACACGCACACGCACGCACGCACGCACACAGGCACGCACGCACGCACGCACGCACGCACGCACGCACGCACTCACACACGCACACACACACACACGCACACGCGCACACACACACAAGCGCACACACACACGCACACGCACACACAGATACACGCACACACACACACAAACGCGCACACACACACACACACACACGCACACACACACACGCGCACACACACAAACACACACACACAAATACACAGACACACACACACACACTCACATACACAAACACACACACAAAAACACACACACACGCACACACACACACGCACACACACAAACACATTCACACACACACGCACACACGCGCACACACGCACACACACGCACACACACATACACACACGCGCACCCACGCACCCACGCACACACACACACACACACACTCAAACACACAAACAAACACACACACATGAATACACACCGATCCCAGGACTCCCAATATTTTCACAACATTACCCCAGTGCGACCCTACCTAGAAGTTGGAGCCCCTAGGAAAGCAGCATTACTTGCTATGCTGTGCTATGCTATGCTATGTTATGCTATGTCGCGCTATGCTATGCTATGCTATGCTATGCTATGCCCTGCTATGTTTGGCTATGTTATGTTATGCTATGCTATGCTATGCAAATGCAGCGCTGCGCTATGCTAAGCTAAGCTAAGATAAGCTAAGCTAACCCTCTGGGCAGAGCCTAGGTAGGGAATAACACCCATGTTAATGCTTTGCTTTGCTGTCGCTGCTGTTGTTTTGTCTTTGCTTTGCTGCTGTGCTATGCTATGCTCTGCTCTGCTCTGCTATGCTATGCTGCGCGGTGCTATGCTGTGTTGTGCTGTGCTGCGCTCTGCTATACTATGCTATGCTATGCTGCGCTATACTGTGCTATGCTGGGCGTTGCTATGATATGCTGTGCTGCGCCATGCTATGCTACGCTCTGCTATGCTCTGCTATGCTAAAGCTCAGCAAAGCTAAGATGAAGGTAAGCTAAGCAAATATACACCTGAGCTAAGATGAAGCTCAGCTAAGTTAAGATGAAATAAGCTAAGCTAAGATCTGATAAGCAACGCTAAGCTAAGGGGACGCAACTGGGGAACCGCGGGACGGATCCTGGGGGAACCGCCCGGGGCGAGGAACACTGCTTGGCCCCTTTAAGATACAGGGTAAGAACCCTCTAGGCAGAGCCTAGGTAGGGAATTTTTCTGGGCCTTCGTCTTCGCCCCTCCATTTCCTACATTTTCCCATATTGTCCGGGGAATCGGCGATTGCCTGCGTCTGTGTGTATTTTCCCCTCCTGAACATAAGGGGGCGGGCCTTCTCAGAGGGCTCCGAAGGCCTCCGGCCTTTTCCGAAGCCCTGCCGCCTCTGAGAGGAAATCGGCGGGGGCAAAGGCGACGCCGAAGGGGGGAGAGGGGATACGATGGCGAAGACGAGGATTGTTTCGCAGATGCCGCATGCGTCGGACATCAGCAAGGACAAGGAAACCGTTCGGGCCCTTGTGAGACGGTGTTTCAACACCACGGCACACTGGAGGCAGAGCCACCTACCAAGCGGGGAGCACAGGGGCAGCCTAGGCTACCCCTGGGCCTTGGGGTAGCCTAGGGTAAGCCTTACCCTGGGGCCCAGGGTCGACGAGAGCAGGCCCTACCCGGGCACTCGGGTAGGGCCAGGGCAGGCCCATCTCCCTACAGTAGGCCCAGGTGGGGGGCCCGGAAGTCCTCCCTCCTCGCGTGCCTCTCCTGCCGCGTCCTCGGGTCGGGCGGGGGGGGCATCGAACG